ACTTTCCGGGACCGGGATTCGATGCCACGCTTGGAAGCACTGAGTATTAGAGAACGTAGACAGTTTGTATACGCCCTCTAACGTTGGAGAACGTAGACACTACCCTTCGTCGCTCCGCGGGGTATAAAAATAGGAGTCAATTGTAGAAGATACCCCCGAGTTAGTTAATTTGTTTAACATGTATTTTTATTGCTCCTTTCGGGAGAAGTGGTCCCGGCCTAACTCCATAGACATTGATACATTATGTACACAATTGGAAACCAAACTGGAAGCTGCCATTACACACAAAAAAAGGGGGTGGCTGCTAAATTCACAAAATAGTGGTTTGTGGCAGCTTTTAGTGCCAAAATTGTTCTCAGCACACTTTAAAAAAAGTTAGAATTCAGAATACTGCCGAAAATAGACCCAGAATCTAGTCTCAAATAGGTTTGGCCGGCAGCTCAGTTCAGTTTTTTTTTTACTCGACTTCCGTTTTTGTTTCCGATTTTGTGTACATGTATAAATGTCTATGGAGTTAGGCCGAAGAGAGCCCAACTATCAAAGGAATAAGTTTGTAACATGGACCCAGTGGCGGTGGGTAGTGAAGGGCTCACGGGATTGAGCCACTACCCCCTCCCCACCCACTACCCCTAACTCTATCCCAAAGTAAATGAAAGTTTCTCCATAATGAAATAAGCAGTTGAAACCGTTATGACCGCACGCAATGAACACAACATGATCAACTTGGCAGCTTGCTCGCTTATCCAATCACTGTTGTCACCGTTTACAACTATAGTAACCCAGCAGGCAATCAAATGTCTATAGGGCTCAGAGAAGATGAGCCCTTTTCCCACAGCCCGTCCTTAATGAAACTTTTCTTGTAAAAAGGTAGAAGACTGGGAAAAAAATAACACTGTACCCAGGGCTCACGCTCTCCTAGCCTTGACAATGGGGTGAAAGTTTACGACACACTTTCCCCCATTGACAGTGACACAGATACCTTTGCGTTCATTGGTTATTTGTTGGGTGCGTTCAAGATGCTCGACTACACGGCCTAATCCAGCTCATAGAAGTATAATGTTTGAAGTGCTGTGTGAGCATGTTTGTCTATGTGCCCGCTGACACTTAACATTTATAAATCAGGTCGAACTACTTTTAAGGCAACCTTTTCATCACACGAAAACTAATTAGAGGAAATTTGGAGGTGAATCGGCTTCGTCCCCACCATCAACAAGAATTTAATTAAGAACAAAGAGATGGAAAACAAAGGCAACTCTTCTCGTTTGAATGGTTCTCAAACTGCCGTGGCTCACCGTGAGTATAGAAAAATCATAACTGTTTAGTTTTTATTGCTTGCTATTTGGTGGTAAAGAACTGGACGCAACCTAAGCCTCACCCAAATTTGGGTCCACCCACCGCCACTGCATGGACCTAGCTTTATTGTTTAAGGCATGTCACCACATTCGATTAGCGAGCAACTCGGAACTACAATGAAGAGAGATGAAATTTTGTTCTTTTTAGATGGCACTTTCCTGCTGATTCATGTTACTTTCTAAAGCTCTGTTTTTACAGAAATATGACTTTGCCTTGGTGTTGTCATATATCCATTTACAGCCTACAGTATATATATATATATATATGCGTGTGTGTGTGTGAATATAGTATATATATATCATATACATGTATATATGCGTGTGTGTGTGTGAATATAGTATAATATATCATATACATGTATGTATGTATATATATATATATATATATATATATATATATATATATATATATATATAATATTATATATATATATGTGAGGCAGCGTGGTGGAATCAGGCTCTCGTCAATTTTTGAGCATGTAGAGTTATTTGTATCATTTTCAAGCTTGTTCACTTATCTTTATTTGAAAGAAAAAAATATCCATTTATCTTGAATACAAGTCGAGATTTCTGCGAATGAAGGAAGTGGGATTCACCTGTTTTCAGAGGTAAAATTAGTGAGAAAATGGCCGTCAAAGATTAGTTATTTCCTTAGAGTAAGAGCGCGCGGTAACTGAAAATTTACAATTTTTGTGCCTTTAATCAACGTTTTTCAGAAAAATCAACACAGAAATGAGTTTTGTAATGGGCATGAAAGGTGTTGAGCCAAAAAAACAAAAATTTGATAAAAATTTCCAAACCTGCGGAACAATGCAAGTTTCTTCACTTTGATTATTTTGACGAGAGCCTGATTCCACCACGCTGCCTCACACACACACACACACACACACACACACACACACACACACACACACACACACACACACACACACACACACACACATATATATATATATATATATATATATATATATATATATATTGAACGCCATTAAAACGCGAAGCTTTTAAAAGGCTATATGTCTGTATAGATCTAAATGTTAATAATGGCCATACAATTATTTATTAACGGTGAGAGTTCTTTATTAAGTTTCGATTTGTTCTTATGTGCAAATTTGTCTAAAGGGCGGTATTCCGAAAGAAGGAAGACAATACACAGGGGCGAAGCATCTATATAATCAAATAATCACTGCTTCCCTTTCTAATTTTGAAACATTGTCGCTGTCAAATTCATCCTTAAACGTAAACCTCATAAATTAAATGTAAAAAGACGTCCGTAACCAACAATGAACAGTATGCTTAACATTCAAAACGGTTTCACGGCCACAGATATAGCCTCCTCACCCCTCTCGGGCCACTCCATAAGCAGTCGCAAGCTTTGATAAAGTAAGCTTAAAGTGAGGCTGGAATAGAGTTGAAGGGAACATGGGCATGGCAGTCAAAGCTGTTTCATTGCCACATTTTTATACCCTGTTCACCCCTTTGGGGCCACAGTTAAAATCAATCACAAGCCCTGATTAAGTAAGCTAACTAACGCTGGTCGAGTCTACCTCAGAAATGTGAGGGGAACTAACTCTCTTGACTGCTGCTTGTGCTTGTTTTTTTTTCCTCGACTTTTTACCGTCCTATAATCAGATCGTGACCTCGATTATGACACCAGCTCCTGGCCGCGAAAGGCTAACAAAAACAGCCAAATGTGAAATTTAAAAAATAATATTTGTCATGTTCTACCAAAGAGTTAGACTCACTGGTAGATCTATAACATATAGATCTATAACATATAGATCTAGTACTGACATCTCTGCTTCTTTGCTTTGTGTTTATGTATTCACATCTAAAGTTAAGTTTAATTTTAGTGGGAACTGATATTTAATAAGATACTTTCCCGATTATTTTGGCGGTTGAACATACAATATGAATTCCGGATTTGTTTTCATTCACAACTCAGAGTCGCCGCCTCGAGTAAGATTCTTGTGTGATATCAACAGGCCATATCTGGTCCCATTTCACTTTGATTACCCTGTCAAACAAGTCAGCCTTCGCCCCTGACTATACATGTATCAAAATATACAACTCTTTTAATCTATCTTCATTTGTTACAAACGTGAACTGACTCTGCGAATGATAGCCAAGTTTTTTTTTCAAAGACCAAAGAGCAGCTGCCATTACTATGCTTGGTCTAGGAATACAAAAGGTTATAAGGTGAATACAGTGCACGCAGTAATTTATGAAAAATTTTGATTACGGTTGATATTTGATGAGCGAGATATGAATATTTTATGGTTCATACGTGAAATGTAAGGATATGTTTCACAGGAAGTGCAATGCTAAAGCAACCCCTTGTATTATGGCATAAATATATACAGTCCTTGACAAGCCAATAGTTTTGCATAAATATTCCAGAAGAATCGAATAGTCAGTCGTTTCAAACACAGCACTGAAATCTAAAAACTGGAAGGATAGATCATTTCTCATTGTCAGCTTTAGTAAAAAGATAATTTTGAATTCCTAGAAGTGCAGTCTCACTATTATGAAACTCTTTATAAGTCTATTCGAAAATCTACAATAGGTTGTTGTCACTGACATAAGCTTTAATATGGGCCAATGCAATATTTTCTAAAATTATCTCGAAGTAGAAGTACATTATTTTCCTCGTAAATACGAGTTCTACCCCCCCCCCCTCCCTGCGGTACCACAACGCAAACCAAGTTCTGTTTGCCCCACTCCACACCTGTAAATTCCTATCGTCCAAGATAATTATTGTCTTGCTCCAAAGTATCTGTTGAGTTCCAGAGCATAAGGTTGATGATAGTTAATACGGCGAGTGCACCCTACCAATAGAATTCATTTGGTTGAGTTGGGGCCTGCCAGATTTTCTGCTTATGTGGGGCAAACGGAACAATATTGGTAGCTTTAGACCGAATTTACCTCTAGTAACTGTGAGCTTCCAAATCTAATTTTAATGTATTAATTATTTTTCAAGGTCGCGAGTCGAATCAGTTGTATTGTACCAAAATAGTAGTTTTGGTCTTTCTGTAGAGGAAAATCTGATGGGCTTGGATTCAGATTGATTGAATCAGATTGACAGTGTGCACTGGGTATTACAATTTTCTCTCTCAAGTTTACTCCTCACTTACAACAAGAAAGATTGACTCGTACGTCCTGTCTTCTCGAAACAGGAACCAAAAACTTGTAGGTTGCGTGTATGAATTCAGCACGTTCTGAAAACCTTGACTGTTGGTGTCAAAGAAGAGTAGCACGCTGTAATGGCCTTATAATGCAGTTTCGAGCGCTGTCCAACGTTTTTTCAAACTAAACTGAAAGAAAGCATATCCTTGCAGGTAGCCCGTCTCTGCTGTTTTATGTAACTGCGCGAAACGCGTTAACAGCATTTTAGTGACCCCTCATTCTCCCCTTGCTCCCAGTTTTATACGTCCTTTCTGTTGGCCCTTAAGGTTTAAGAACACGCTGTTGGCATTTGACCTCATTTGACAAGGCAATCAAGGGAGCAGATATGTGTTCATAAAAAATTCACGTATAAAACGATGCATCATGACTACTTTTTAAATATGTTTTTTTTCAACTTTTATTCCCAGTTCTCAGATTTCCCTGTGCCTGCCCCAGAACCGTATTCTGAGCATCTTCAAATTCAAAGCATCTTCTTACGGAGGACTGAATACGATTTGGTGACCATTATTTCCCATCGCAATTTTCTGCACAAGCTACAAATTAGATATTCTAAAACAGAAAGATAGCGACAAACATGACGGCACAGGTCGACCGTGAAGCTGTGTTAGAGGCCACCAAAGCTTTGGCGGTTATTTTTATTTCAGGAATTCTTGCATCCAATATTTTTTTGCTGTTCAAGTTTCTCCGTAAAGGACGGTTACTCGAAAGTCAACGTAAATTCCTAGTTATGACCCTCGCTGTGGGTGACATTTTCCTGGCTTTGTTTTCTTTGGTTATCTTAGCTCGTCGTGCTTAGGAAAACGTATTCTATATCTCGTGTAATACAAATGTAGTTTCTCCAATGTATTCAGTTTGTTTCCTCCCGTTTGTGTATGGGGTTGGTATAATTGTCCTCTGTGGGGAACTCGGTTTCCGGAAAAAACTTCGCTCTTTGATTTCCAGTCCTTACGTGTCGTCCATACTGGTGGCCGCGGTACCTTGGATTGCTGGACTCATCCTGATATTGCCCTTATATTTGGCTGGCTTTGATTATGTGAGCTGTTCGTATGGTGATTCCATGACAGGTGACCGGCAAAGGGCTTTTTATGTCGTTGGCATCGTCCTTCCTTCAGCCCTGGCTGTGATCTTCGCTCTCATGACCAGCTGTTGGAAAGGTGATGCAATATCTGAGTATTGCGATTCTCCTCAATCTCAAGGTGTCGTGTTTAGTCAGGCAGTGACAACACATAACGCTCAAGGATTCCCACAACAGCAGTACTATCCAGGACCTCCACAACAGCAGTACTATCCAGGACCTCCACAACAACAGTACTATCCAGGACCCTCACAACAGCAGTACTATCCCCGACCCTCACAACAGCAAAACTATCCTGTGCCACCACCAGCTACAGCACAACAGCCATACTACCCTGCCTCTCAGCCACCGGCTTACGTAAGTGGTCCACAAGGCCCTGGTCTCAAACAACCCGCCTACCCTCCACAACCGATGCCCCCTACACAAGCTGTGATCCAAACACCTGTGAGCTCAACACAACCACCCTCAAATCAACAACTGTTGGCCGCAGTCAGGAATGAGCAAAGTACCCTGGTCCTAGTTGCTGTTCTATACGCTGTTTTGTCATTGCCGTTTGCCCTCTTCATACTTGGCTACAATCTGAACAAGGACCATGTTTTTCTAGATCCAATTCCTCAAACAATGTTGTCAAACTTATTTCAGTGGATGCTTTATCTCCGCTCCATCGTGACTCCTATTGTTTGGATAATCAAGGAGAAAACTTTTGTTTGAAAAGAAAGCAAAACATAATTTCTCTATTGTCAGTTGCAGTGATGTAGTTAGTTAGAAATCAAACAATCTTATAGAACATAGTAATTTTTTTTATTCCACAGGATGCCCTGAAGATGGAACAAGGTGCTCCGCTCGAAAAAAGAAATGACTTGACTAAACACACATATGTCAGTCTTTAGTGCGTTACATGACAATAATGAAAAGCAGAAGTGCGAATAGCTAGCTTTACTCCCGTTGTGCGAGTAGGTCGTCGTCATTTTGAAAACATTTTACATTATTGGCCACAGAATAAATCTGTCGCACGAAGCAGACCCAGTTCGTTCCCCAGCGAGGAAAAACATTTTATCGAGTATTTTGGTGCTTCTGTTAGGATGTTATATCCTTTTCAGCTCAGCTTTTCAGCCCAGGTTGGCCCTGGCAGACAGGGTCGAAACATTTCGCCTTCGAAATCATCTAAATTGTATTGATTTAATTAATTTTTAATTAATTTTTTTTTGGGGGGGGCGGGGTATACATCAATTTTTTGTCATAAATTAACTCATTCCGAAACCAGACAAAACTTCTTCAACCTTATGTCAGCACTCTAGAATGAGATGCCAATTGCTACTAACAAGAATGCTAAAGAACTGATCTAGTATCCACTTAGACTCTCGTGTCTCTATCATTCCCGTTTTGGCAACTTTCAAAAGCAACTGCACCACAGCGACTGACCTTCACATTGACGAGAACCATAATATTATATCTCATTTTCTTTTGTTTTCAGGTCAAAAATGTTTTCATTGAAATGATGTTATAATTATCATTATTATTATTATTATTATTATTATTATTATTATTATTATTATTATTATTATGATGATGATGATGATGATGATGATGATGATGATGATGATTATTATTATCATTATTGTTGTTGTCGTTGTCGTCTTCGTTGTTGATATTGTTGGTATTATTCTTTTACAATAACTTGTCACCATTCCTTTCATTATCGCTTTAAAATATCCACTCACCAACATATTTATGTTGTCTATATTCGAATGCAAACTTCATGTTGTTATTATTTTTCATAGACGCCCCTAATTCATTCTAACATGTGCCTCTAAAAATGTTTTAATTTGTCTTTGAATTAAAGAACTGAACGCCACTTATTACTTAATATACTGACTTCAACATACGTTAAGAACCACCTTGACAGACAGCCTGATTTTCAAAAAGTCCGAAAAAGAGACAGAAAGGAATGTTCCAACATTTTTTGCTCTGAAAGTGTTAATGGGTTATCAGTGCCTTCTGCAAAGCTTCCTAAAGTGGCAAAATCACTGTGTGCAGCACCGGAATCCTCTGGGAAGTTTAGCAAAATTTGCTGTTTTTTTATTGACTATGTCCAACACCACGGACATTCCTCAGTTAAATTTTCTGGTGCACGTCATAAAAGGACGTATGGTCTCGAACTGTGCTCACTCTGGAGGTAATATAAGCCGCCGTTTGCGCAAAATCCAGTATCGCATCAATATGCCACCGAAACGAAAGCTGAGAGACTTTGATTGATCGTGCCAGAGCTATGGCATGACTGCAGGATGGAGTTGGGGCCCAAGAAGTTGCAAGAAGGCTTGCAGTGCCACACTGTCATTGTCACCTTGAGGCAACCCCATCAAGCCACTGGATCAGCCCAAGAACGCCTACGTGCAGGTCGACCTAAGAAGACCACTCAGAGTGTTTGCAAGTGGTTATTAACTATGTTGAAGTGTGTATTTAGTATCTTAAATGACTAAGTTCTTTCTCCTATTTGGGCTATGACTCATATTTGAATTACGAATAAGTTGTTGTTGTTGTTGTTGTTATCGATCCAACAACAGCTGGGCTCTCGCCCTTCTGTCCAATGCCATGTAGGGATAAGTGCAGGTTTGCTGCTGTTGCTTTAATGTTCCATAGAGTGTGCTTTCAATATTAGGTCTCGGAGGGAGAAGGGAAATACGAATAGTCGAAATGATGTTTTTGGGTTAAAAATAAAATAAGTTGCATGCTATTATGCAGATGTGAGTCAGGTCATGAAAGACGTTACCATGAGCAGTTAACTGAGTATTATTGTTTGAAAGTGAGTTAAAACATTTTTAGCCTCGGCAAAGAGCCTTGTAAAATCGTTAAAAAGTAGACTTGTTAATCATTCTGTGTAGAACATAGAGGAAGAAGTCTGTCGAAAGTATGTTTTCTCTCTTATAATTTTGTTTCAAGAAACAGCTGAATATATCACCAACCTCCCACGGTATTGGAGCAGAAGAGTCATAGCTTTGTTAAAAACCCATAGCCTTCCATTAAATAACAATCTCTATCGATGGAAATTAACTAATTCGCCCTTATGTATATATAAAGTCATAAAGTCATATATATATATGTGAGAGGTGTAACTCTCATGAACTTGAAGATGAATTTCACTTTATTTTCTATTGTTCACACTTTGTCCATTAAAGGAAATTGTTAACCCCTCCTAGCCTGACTGGGCCCAATGACAGAAATATGCAATGTTTGACTCATGATAAGAGATATGTCACAACATGTACTTATTCATTATGGAAACTTTATTTATCAAATGAGTGTTTTGAGTGATGTGATGTGGGCCAGTGGCATTAAACACTGAATTAACTTACTTACTTATTTACTGACTTGTAAAATCGAAGAAAAAAGCGATTCGTCAAAGAGTGAAATGTTCTTAAGTAGGAAGGCGTAACGTCGAAATAAATAGTTTCTTAAATATATAGATATGCAATACTGGGCGAAAAAGGCGCTCGGCGGGTTTTGTCAGCAAAAATGAGGAGAATTAATAGGCTTGTATCTCGCTTCCCGTACCAGTAAACTTTAAAAATGTTATATTATGTTTAAACATGCTCGTCCTAAATCTTTAATATTAAAACATCAGATAAATGAACAGATAAAAAATAAGTACTAATTACAGGGGTGGAAGTTTGTCACTGAATCGTCTTTTCTAAATAATAGTAAATAAGAATATTGTCTTTTGACAATTATCCTGCCCTGCGTATAAAAAGTATACGAATGCTATTAGGCACCACTAAATAGTGCATTTCTAAAATGTGTTAAGATTGTAATACCGTGTCCACTTTTATTGTTACAATAAAATGGTAGTTATTTTTGAAGATTATAGAGATGAATGCTTTAATGTTTAGTCTTGTCTTCTAGATTTTGTATAAAAGAGCTTAGTTTTCTCTTTAATTTGGTGTATATTATGATGTATATCTTTAAATGAAAAGTGCTTTTTTGTGCAAATTGAAATATTGTCATATGCTTGGGGGATGCATACATTGATGTTTGTTCTAATTACTTTTAATTTCTTGCAAAAAAGATTTTCTTTACTTTATCTTTAAAAAATGAGCTTAGTATATGCACCAGTGACTCTTGGTTGAAGAATTTTTTGTAGCAAAGTGGTTTATTTGTGAGCTGTCTCTGAACTCGTGGTTTTCATATTTCGCGATGTACACTTCAAAAATAAAAAAAAATTAACATTCGGTAAATTTAGTATCAAATTACTTAGAATGAAAAGTCCTTATGATATGTCCATATGATTTTTCACTTTAATCCAATATAGAAATTAAATGTTGAGTACCTACTTAAAATGTGTAATTTAAAAGGATTTTAGTTTCAAAATCGTCTGCGAAGACGCAAAAGGTCACTCTCCTTTTTTAAACTCTGCTTATGATCTCTCCAAAAACAATTAATGTCTATTTGTCTCCCCCAAGGAGGTTTATTCTAAGATCCTTGGTCTCCCCAAAACAACAACAAAAAACCACCCCAAAATAAATTTTAAAAATAGACTGCCGGAAAGCTGGATTTACACATGAATGCCCCAACTCAATAAAATCGATGTCAACTTTCGGGACAAATCAAAGACTGATTAATGGGAAAGTCATAAGTCCTTTGTTACGTAACAATCGTACAAAATCATCGAGTAGTGAAGAAACATTGCTCCCTCCTTTGTTTACGTGTTGATTATTCTTCTGAGAGTTCTACTAAATTTGACCAGATGGTTTTGCTGAATACAAACGGAGAAACAGAAGTAATAGGTAGCTGCACCCTTAAGAACATGGCACGGCTACAGGTAGGATGTCTCAGATGTTACATAACCGACAGCAAATATCGTTCAATGTCACGACGTGGTGGAATCAGGCGATCGTCATTTCTTTCTGCATGTACAGTAATTGGTATCATCTTAAAAAGCAGTTCATTTTTGTCGCTTTGAATTTTTTTTAAATACCCATCAATCTCAAGAGAAGTCGAGATGTTCGCGATCGAAGGGGTCGCGTGATTTCAGAAGTAAGGTTGCTTAGAAAATGACCGCTCAGGTTTATTTACCTACATAGCTTAAGAGTTCTTTGAAACTGAAAATGTTCATTTGTTGTGATCAACGTTTGTCAGTAAAGTTCAGACAGAAATATCGTTGTTCGAAAAGCAAATAAACGTAAAAGATGTTGAGCCATAAAACAAAAATTCAATAACAATTGCTGAACCAGTGAAAAAAGACGGTTTCTTAGATTTCATTATTTTGGAGAGCGCCTGATTTCACTGTGCCACCTCACATTTGTTGCTATGCTACTGTAAAACTTGTATTCACATATCGGTAAAATAGGACAATATAACTCTGAAATTGTACATTTAATAAAAGATGTAAATATTTTCAGTGTCGTGAGGTACCGAATAAACTCTTGTTTTCGTACATTACTTAATTTGATGAATTGCTGGTAAACATGCACATTTGTCGTCTTTATATTTTTGGTGTATGTTGTAAATTCTATGTCGATAAATCATATGTTGGTTTCCTTTATTTTTAAAGCAAGCAAGGAATTGTATTCAACAAAAATATTGTTATCCAACCCTTGTTTCCGCAGTTGTTGGAAGATAGTGAAAAATTCCAACAATACTATCGCATAAAACATAGCAGATATACACATACATATATGTGATAAGAAAACAACACATTTGCCACTCGAAACATACAC